TGAAGTTGAGAAAGGTCTTGGGTGAAGAAGTGGACTGTTGGAGCTGGTGTTGGTGGTGACTCGCTGAAGTGATCCTCGTGCTATGAGCTGGCTTGACGTTGGAACAAGTGATGAACGTGTGGTATGAGAACGAGGTGTTGCGGTGACGGTTGACTTGTTGCTAGGAAGAGTCGTAGATGGTGTTGATGTAGGTACTTGGGGTCTTGTAGCTGTTGATTGCTGCTGCATGGGATGATGATGAGCTTCTGTAGTTGCCTCTGGAGTGATGGCTGGTGATGGGTTTGATGGCGTAGTGGTGGGCTGATCCGGTTCGCGTTGAAATTGTGAGGTTGGTGTTGATATAGCTGGCTGGTTTGTGACTGTTGGCTGCTGCTCCTTTGGTGGTGATGGAACGGTGACTTGCTACGGTGGATTGTCTTCATTTGATGGCTGAACTTCATCTCCACTTGGTTGAGTAGCTGCTGGTGGCACTGGCGTGGCATGGCTGGACTCGTTGACGACGGCTTGAGGGAGATCGATGATCGGTCCGCTATGGTCAGAATCGGTGTCATCTTCTTCCTCCTCTTGTGTTGTTTCCTCAGGTGCGCTTGCTGGTTCCTGTTGGATAGAGGGTAGAGAGGAGGAAGAGGAAAACTTATGCCAACCTGCAAGGGACATGTCTTCATAGAAGACAACATCCCTTGAAACCACTTCTCGCTTGGTGACAGGATCCCAAAGGACCCATCCCTTGCTCTCATTGCTCATGCCGATAAAGAGGCCCCAATGAGCTTTGCTGTCCAGCTTGAGTCTCTTTGCATCTGGAACACGGTATTGGGCCATGGAACAAAAAACACGAAGCATAGACAGATCTGGTTTAACTCCAAACCAAGCCTCATATGGCGTTACACCATCCCGTAAGGGCCTTGCGGGTCTCTTGTTGCGAACATAAATTGCCATAGTGATTGCCTCACCCCACCAGAGCTTGTCAAGGCCTTTGAACTGAAGGAAAGTGGTAGCTATAGCCTGGATGGTGCGATGAAACCTCTCTTCCACTCCATTTTGCTGAGGACTATAGGGACAAGTGAACTGTTGTTTGATGCCCAATGCCTACAACTCCCCCTGAAACGCTTTCCCAATGTACTCACCTCCTCGATCCGACCTCAGGGTGAGTAACTTCTTCCCTGACTCTCTCTCAACAAGTGCTAGCCATTGCTTGAAACACTTGTGAACTTCATCCTTGGTGTTGATGAAAAAGGACCACGAGAAACGACTCTTGTGATCAATGAAAGACACCAAATATCTCTTACCGTTTCGAGTAGGGTCTCGCATGGGGCCGAAGACATCAGTGTGGACCAACTCTAGGAGGTCCCTTGACTGAGACTTAGAAGGGAAGAATGGATTTCTAGCTAGCTTACCTTCCACACAAGATGGACATGGAACGGAAGAAAGGGACTTGACTGCACTTTCACTCAAACTCAATCCTTCCACGCTCTTGTGATTTACCAACTCTTTCAATGCTTGCACTCCCACGTGCCCCAAGTGTGCATGCCATACCTCAGCTTGGGAGATACTCCCTTTGTTGTTGACTTGATCGGTTGAAACAGCGGGAAGCGAGACAACGTCGTTCTTCGTGTTGCTAGCACCGCACTTAATCTCCAACTTCATCTTGTAGAGCCGCCCGGTACGCTCGCCTTCAGCCACCAAAATTCCTGCACTGTCCCACACTTTGGCTTTCCCCCCTTGCAAGAGAACGGAGGCACCTTTCTCTTCGAGCTGTCCGGCTGAGAGCAAGTTTGCTCCCAAATCAGGAACAAACAAAGCTTTATTGACACAAAATGACTTACCATCCTTTTCAAACTCAAGCTTGCCGACTCCTTTGATTGGTACTTTGCCAAGATCAGCAAGAGTCACAGCTTTTGAGTCATATGAGGGCTGAAAATCCTTGAGAATGGACTGATAGGGAGTCATGGTTTCAGAGCAGCCACTATCAAGAATAAACTCCTCACTACTAGTAGAGAAAACGTGCATGTAAGTAGCAGCGTTAAAAAGGACAGGACCATCGGACTCTTTGGACTCATCTTGACTTGTAGAATGACTTGCTATATTTGCTATGGCTGCCTTACCTTTTTCATATAGTAGCTGAGGTGGGGGGACCCAATTAGGAGGCTTCTTAGGACAAGCATACCACGGGTGACCCCACTCATGACAACAAAAACACTCAAAATTAAACTTTTTAGCATTCGGGGCTTCGCTGAAATTATTGACTCTTGGCGTATTGACTCTTGCATTCCTAGGCTGGTATTGATTGGGAATCGAAGGCCTTGGCTGGACATAGGGACTGGACTTATAGGGAGGACTTGACTGAGGAAAACGAGAGGGTTTGTATGGGTTGGAAGGTGACTGAAATTTCGTACCGTAGTAGGGTTGAGGGCGGTTTGGGCTGAAATTTCCTTGCCTCTGGAATTGGTTGCCATATCTTGTGGCTGCTGCAGCACTCCACGCACCTTCGTCACTCCGCTTGTTCCGTGCAAGGTCTCGACTCTGCTGCTCGTTGACAAGGGCCTCAAAGATGAACGCACGACTCTTCATTGACTACAGGAGCGCTTGTAGTGTTGCACGGAAAGTGTCCCACTCCGGTGTAAGGCCGGAGAGGATGACGGTCTTGAAAAGAGACTCTGGAATCTCCAAGCCGATCGCTGCTGCTTCCTCCAACATTGCTTCAGCTCGTTGTAGGTAGGCTTGTGCTGATTCATCTTCTTCCATCTTCGGATTCATGAAGCGGCTCCACATCTCGGCTTGGCTGCTCTCGGATTTTGACTTGTGCATAGTCTTCAGTCAGCTCCATGCTTCCTCTGCACTGTTTGCCTTGGTAGAACAGGGCAGGAGCGACTTCAACTGCTGCTCGTGAATGCTATTGAGTAGGTAGAGGAAGGCCTCCTTGTTGCGTCGTTCGTAAAGTCGTTTTTCAGCTTCTTAAGCATCTGCTGCTGGTTTGGCTGCTCCTCCAGTGTAGTAAGGCCACAGATCCAGAATGGATGCAGTGAGCTCAAACTGAGTTGCCCATGTTGGAAAATCTTTGCCGTTGAACTTGGGGAGGTGAAGCTTAGGCATGAAGGAGGTGAGTGGTGAGTATGTTGTTGAAGGACTGCGTGGTGCAACTGCTTCCACTAATCCAGTAGCTGCTGATGTTGACTCTGAAGCTCCTCCGGCTGGCTGGAGTGCAGGACCAGATGGATTGTCTCCCGCCATGTTCGTATGGTGCTAGGATAGGAACGTGGTGGGCTAGGTTGATCAAAACGACGAGCTGCGATACCAACTTGTAAAGCAGAGTAGCTGTGACTACTGGAGGGCTGGAAACTTGTCTGGAAAGTCTTAGCAGGGCTGCTGGAATTGACTGGATGAGGTAAAACTTCACTATGTTCAAGATTAACAAGCCCACTAAAGCACAACTCTATAGGCATCACAAACAAGACAGATTGAAAGCTCAAACTAGGCTGATAGACAATGTAACTTCCCTGGTAACTTGGGCACAATCTAGATTGGATGGACCTTGAGTGACTTTGAGTGCCACATGAGGTGCATGAATAAGAAAGCTCTGGATATTTCTGTTATAGCTGATTCTGATATGTAGAAACCTGTAGAAACTGCCAACACTTCCGTTTGAAGGCAGCTTTGAACTGTATGGAGTCTTCGGCTGAAATCTGATTGGTGGTGGAACTTTCGAAGTACTTCCCGAAGCCTCTGATTCATCGCCGACATTCCCCCTTGCTGCTGGTTGTGTGCAAAGGGCTGGGGCGGCAGAAACTCGATTCTCCAACAGAGTCATTGACTACCGCAGGCGGTGACCGGGCCTGTCGAAGTTCCTTGGGCCCATACTTGGTGTCCCCAGCTCCTCCCTATCTGACCCTGTTTTGGCCGTAGCTGAGTGTTATGGCGCCCTTACTGGTCACGGGCGCAGGCCAAAGTGAAAACTTGATATCCGGGCTTGCACTTACACTAACTTAGCCAAGGGAAAGCTCGGCTGCTCCAAAGCTGACTTAGAGATATCACAAACACGGGATTGTCTAGAAAACGCTAAGGGAATAATCCCCTTGGCGCGCTCTCGTGCAACCTAAGGAGAAGGGGGGGGGGGGGGAGTGGGGGGGTCAGGCAGAATTACTTGGGGGGGGGGGGGGTCCTAGAACCGGAAATCAGAACTTTGTGGGTGCGGAAGGTCTGGTTGGAGCACTTAACGCATCCGGGGAAGGGTCGAACGAAGCACTTAGTGGCACGGGTGCAGGGCGATCGTAACACTTTATGCAGTCGAGCTGGAGCGAAAGTAGCCCTGAATTTCAGGGCATTAAGGGCATATGCCCGTCAATCGACAGGCCTGGCGGTGACTCCAGTGCTGTGCGTCCTGCACGAGAGGTGAACGCCGCTTGCCTTGTGTGAGTGATTTGACATCACCCGATCACAATATTCCGTCAGGATCGAAATCGCGCGTCTGGTTCGCCATGGCACAGAATCGAGCACGCGATGAGCCATCAGGTGCGAGCACGGGGACCGCGCTGGGCGCAGCGAGCCCTGGCCAGGCACAAGCTCGGATCTCGAGCGAGGGAAAACAGGCCTCGTGCCGTCGGAATGTTCCGTTTTCTCAACGGCCGCAAGTTCATCATCATTTCGTCGATCTATTGCGCAGCATCAGGCGTCCATCTGGCAAGGTTTCGCGCCTATCAGTGGCCTTTGCTCGCAGCCTTTCCTCGCCACGCTCTCCGTGAGAGTTGACTCGTGAGCCATCAAGGCGGGTGCCTGAGGCTCACCCTCTCAGCCATATCGTTCAGCCATGCCGCGCGCCCTTTCGCTGTGCGATTCTCGGGAACCGTCGCCACGGCGGCATGGAGAAGGACAACGGGAAAGTACTGAAGCCTATTTAGTGATAAGCCACACTTAGGCTTACAGTGCTTGCAGAAAGGAATGAACTGCGTTTCCTCATTTGAAGCCTCGCGCACCGTAAGCCTATTATTGTTTCCCCGCACGGCGGAATGAGCTGCGTGGACGACCCGCACTGCGCGTTCAGTTGGGCGGACGGCCCGCTAGGAAGCAGCAGCCCCTCCTTCTTTGCCTGCGACCTCGTCGCCGCCGCGCATCGCCCTTCGCCCTTCGTGCTCCTCTCACCACTCCCCATGTGCGCAGACTCACGCGCCGCGCTGGCGAGCTCGAGTGTGCGCGAGCTGATGGAGCGATGCGAAGCTGAACGGCACAACACGTGGCAGCAGCGCTGGTGGAACGGCGCGGCCGCCCAGCAGAACCACTCCGCTGCGCTCCCCGTGCGCGCCCCGGAGAACTCCGCGCGGGTCCCAGCGTGGGGCGCAGCAGCAGGCGGCGCTTTGACCCACTTGCAGCCACTGCTAGCCGCAGCAGCATTGGGTACAGCAGAGCTGTGGGGCGGCAATGAAACCGCACACAACGACGCACAAGCAAGAAGCTGTCTGAACGGGCTGTGCAGCCCCACTCACAGTTGGCGAGAGGCAGCAGAGGCGTGTCCCACACGCTCGCCTCCACGCCGCGGTGGCGCTGCTGCAGCAAGCACCACAGGCGGTGCAGACGACGCGGTGAGCAGGGCCGGTGCTGCTAGCACAGGTGGGGCACAGGGTGCGCGTGGGTGTAGCGCGGTGGAAAGGGAGGGCGCGAGAAGGACACCATCGCGCCGTGGCAAGCTGAGGCGCTCCTCAACAGCCGGAGCAGCCATGTTGGCGGGAGGAGGAGAAGAGACGGGCGGCAGTGCAGATGAGAGCGCGTGGCGTGCAGTTAGTGGCGCCGGGGGGAGCCAAGCCACCGCTACCCCACTCACCTCCTCTCGCCGCCTCCACTCCTGTGCGTCCGCTGCTGCTGCTGCTGCCCCTGGGAGTGGCGGGCACGGTGCGGACGGGTGGATGTGGGAGTACCAGGGGTGCTGCGAGCACAGCAATTGGAACTTCAGCAGCGCCGCCCACTCCCCGCAGACACACCTTCACGTCGCTCACAGCACTGCCCGCACTAGCGGCTCCTCGTTCTTCTCCCCGTCGCACCACGCGCTCAACCCTGCCCACGACCTGCTGCCTGGCTCTGCTTACCTCCACCTCTCTGCGCTTGATGCCTGCTGTGCAGCAGCAGCAGCAGCAGCAGCAGCAGCAGCAGCAGAGTGGTCACCACGGGAGGCCACTCCCCCTTCCACGCCAGCCACACCTGCACTGCCGCCCATCCCCATTGCACCACCCAGCACTGCTCCTCCACCTCCCACGCCCAGCCTGGCACAGCTGCAGCAGGCCATCCCGTGTGCTGCTGTCACGGGTGCTGTGGGCGATGAGGGGAAGGCAGGGAGGTGGTGGGAGAGGCTCACACGCAGGCCCTCAGATTCATTCTAGGCTACACTGATGCATCAGGGCTGTTTAGTGAAAAGCAGCTTTTGCCCTGATTCATCAGGGCTACACTGGGTAAGGTACCCTGATTTGTCAGTGCTATGTAAAATCAGGGTGGATAATTTACAGCACAAAGTGGTGTAGTGACTAAGGCGTCGGCCAGGCACACAAGAGGTCACCTGATCAAATTTGCTTCTCGACGCCATTCCATGCGGGCCCGAAGCGGAAGTCGATGGTTGAGTGCACTTGTCCCTGTCCGTTTTTTGCAGTACATCTCGCTTCAGTGAGAGACTCGACACTAACCTGAATGATCAGGGCTGAACCTACACCATTATACTGAATTGTCAGTACGCTACATAACCACAATACTGATTTTACAGGACAAGTATTTCCCTCATGCTGTTTTCTCAGGACAGGCCCACAACACCTATCCTGAATTCAGGAGATTCAGGATAAATTATCCTGATAACATAGGGCCTGCTCACACGGCTGAGGCGGCAGCGCTCGGACAGGCGGAGGCAGGCAAGCAGGAGCCGTGGCCTCTCTGTGCTGCTCACCTGCTGCGTGCACTGATCAGTCATTGTACCTCATCGCCTCGATTCCAGCCCCGGGCGTTTCTTGCTGTCATGTCATCCCCTCCAAAAAAAAGAAAAAGGTTAACAAAATGGGCGTACAAGGGGATCTAATCTAACTTAACCTGCCATTTCCCAAGAGGGTCTGACTAGTGTATGGCCAACCAAATACGGTCGCAATCTGCCATTGATTGTGTATAAAATTTTGTATTGTGTTGTGAATGTTTATAAAATACAGCAAGCATCCTGCCCCATGACCCTGACACTGTCAGAGTCATTTGCAAGGTGCTTCTCCTCAACTCGGATTCTTGAGTGAAGTTGGTTTCACACTGGAGCAGTCCCGTCTGTTGAAATTAGGAGGTCGCTAGAGTAGCGGAAATACTCTAGGAAATAACGACGTCCCAGCGGCGGGGCTATGGTCACTCAGAGGTAGCTCTCCTGGCTTGTAACTTGGTGCCAAAGCGGCGGCCGAGGGTAGGCCGGACACAAGCTTGAGAATTGTGTAATGATAGCATGGCAGTACATTGAGTTATATAGGAAACATAGCAGGGAGGCAGTTACCAAGGCGCAACTGTATTACAGTTGCGCTGTAACGTTTCAGTTGCCCAGTTACTGGCGAGACCTTTCAGCTTCGGCAAGGGCGCGGTATTCTGCCGCGCCTCCAGGGTGGTTTCGCGTACTGTAGACGCTGCCTCTTGCTCAATTCGACCCTTCGGCTGCCACGCGGGTCGCAACCACTGTACGCGGTTGCGCCCCTGCAGTTCGATACTTGGGTCAACATCCTCGATATTGAGGGCTTCGCTTCTGCACTTAGAACAGTGCACTGAAAGATAAATAACACACAAATATATTTCCAACACTCCCCTCCACTGTTAGAAGTGTAGAATCCAAGAGAGATGAAATTCTCCATGTTGAAATTCTGAAGTCCTCGTCAGGGACTTCACCGGTACGCCTTGAAATGCGTCTTGCCAAGTCGCCCAAAATTATGCGACGGCGCGTTGAAGATTTCCTCCACGAAATTCTCCGTGGGTAGTGGCAGGTTCTGACCTGCTCCAGGAGATGCTCCTGGTGATGATAAAGGTGGTGAGCCAAACTGAATGAAGCTGCTCCCACAGGTCCAAGTGTTTGAACGCTTGCTCGTGATACCATGTTGAAATTAGGAGGTCGCTAGAGTAGCGGAAATACTCTAGGAAATAACGACGTCCCAGCGGCGGGGCTATGGTCACTCAGAGGTAGCTCTCCTGGCTTGTAACTTGGTGCCAAAGCGGCGGCCGAGGGTAGGCCGGACACAAGCTTGAGAATTGTGTAATGATAGCATGGCAGTACATTGAGTTATATAGGAAACATAGCAGGGAGGCAGTTACCAAGGCGCAACTGTATTACAGTTGCGCTGTAACGTTTCAGTTGCCCAGTTACTGGCGAGACCTTTCAGCTTCGGCAAGGGCGCGGTATTCTGCCGCGCCTCCAGGGTGGTTTCGCGTACTGTAGACGCTGCCTCTTGCTCAATTCGACCCTTCGGCTGCCACGCGGGTCGCAACCACTGTACGCGGTTGCGCCCCTGCAGTTCGATACTTGGGTCAACATCCTCGATATTGAGGGCTTCGCTTCTGCACTTAGAACAGTGCACTGAAAGATAAATAACACACAAATATATTTCCAACACCGTCCACATTAGGTTACAAAACAACTTACACACCTAGGGCTGTGTCCGGCCAGATCAAGTTACGGTACTTAACAGTGACTCCGCGGACCAGCAGATCAGAAGGCGGGGAAGGAGGGGTCGATGTGAGCCCCCCATGCGAGCATGCCACCATCCACACTCACAGCCGACCCCACTCCCGCCTCCCTCAGCACGCCCACCGCCCGCTGGGAGTCGTTGCCCCGCCGGCACACCACAAACACCGCCGCCTCCACCCCTCCCTCTCCCTCCCCCCCACAACCACCTCCTTGCTGCTCCTCTGCCGCTGCTGCCTGCTCACAGGCCGCTGCAGGTGCCTGCTGTGATGCTGTGGACGATGCTGACGTGGCAGCTGCCTGGGCGGCTAATTTGATCTCGTCCAGGGCGGCCGGCAGAGTGGCGAGGGGCGTGTTGATGGCGCCAGGCAGGTGGGCAATGGAGAAGAGGTGGGGCGGCCGCACGTCCAGCAGCACGTGCGGGCGGCGCTGCTGCCGGGCGGCGAGGAGAGCGGTGGGCGGCACTCGTTGGCTGGGAGGGATGAGAGAGAGGGACTTGGGGCCCTGGAGTTGGGCAAGGGGGGGAGGGACGGGAAAAGGGGGGGAGAAGGGGAGTGGGAGGGGGTGTTGGAGGGGTTGAGGCGAAGAAGAGAGTGGGAGAGTGGAGTGTGTGTGAGGGTGATGATGGAGATGCAGGTTGATGGGAGAGGGCATGCAGGCAAGGGATCCCATGGGATGGGATGGGATGGGATGGGATGGGATGGGATGGGATGGGATGGAATGGCACATGGTGCATGTTGGTAGAATGTAATGTGCAAAATACTTGAGTATTTGCATCCCATTCAATGAGGGGTTGAGTTGAGCCGGTCCCATTCACATTGCAGTTAAAACTCCCACACCAAAACTGGTCATGGAAGGGCGAGGAGGCACCTGGTCATGGAAGGGCGAGGAGGTGAAGGCCTGGTAGTCAAAGGCGCTGATGCTGTCTGCTGTCATGGTGGCGCCCTCCCCACACGCCACACACGACGCCACCCTGCTGCGTAGCTTCACCTGGCGATAGCACCGGGGGCACAGGCGAGCAGAGGGGCACAGGCGAGCAGAGGGGCACAAGCGAGCAGAGGGGCACAGGCGAGCAGAGGGGCAGCAGCGGGTGGCCGAGGGAAGGGCGCACGGTGTGAGGGCAGGTAGACAGGGTGGGCACAGGCATGGTGGCATGGTGGCATGGTGGCATGGTGGCATGGTGGATGGTGATGAGAGCATGGGACGCGTGCATGTCAATGCGGCATGCATGCATGCATGTACAAGGGAAGAAATAGGCCTACATTGAACTTAACCTTGCTTGTGTTTTGTATGGGTGGGGAATTGAATGCATGGGTGGGCAGGGCATGCATGGATGGGCAGGCATGCATGGGTGGGCAGGGCATGCATGGGTGGGCAGGGCATGCATGGGTGGGCAGGGCATGCATGGGTGGGCAGGGCATGCATGGGTGGGCGGGGAATGCATGGGTGGGCAGGGCATGCATGGGTGGGCGGGGAATGCATGGGTGGGCAGGGCATGCATGGGTGGGCGGGGAATGCATGGGTGGGCAGGGCATGCATGGGTGGGCAGGGCATGCATGGGTGGGCGGGGAATGCATGGGTGGGCGGGGAATGCATGGGTGGGCAGGGCATGCATGGGTGGGCGGGGAATGCATGGGTGGGCAGGGCATGCATGGGTGGCATGCATGGGTGGGCAGGGCATGCATGGGTGGGCGGGGAATGCATGGGTGGGCGGGGAATGCATGGGTGGGCAGGGAATGCATGGGTGGGCGGGGAATGCATGGGTGGGCGGGGAATGCATGGGTGGGCGGGGAATGCATGGGTGGGCGGGGAATGCATGGGTGGGCGGGGCAGGGGGCGAACGGACGTTGAGGAAGGAGGCAGCGAGGGCGTCGTAGACGAGCATGCGCGCTGAGAGGGGCGCGCCCACCCCCGCCACCACCTTCAGCGCCTCCACCGCCTGCAACACGCCTATCACCCCCGGCACTGCCATGCGCGCGCGCGCAGGTGAGAGCAGGGGCGCGGGGAGATGGGACGTGCATGGGAGCAAGAGTGAAGCCATGAGGATAAAAAGGTGGGGAGAGAAAATACGAAGAGAGACGCGGAGCAGGCAGGGCAAGCAGAGGGGTGCGCACAATGGCATGCACATCAGGGCTCCGATCATGGGAGCAGTTCACATTGGCTCTTCCTGGGTGTGGGGCATGTGGGGCAGTGGTGCTGCTCCACGTTGCTCACGTTTCCCCCATCTCCCCACCAGCACATGCGCCGCACACCTCCTCTCCTCATATGCATGCCCAACCAACCCAACCACAACCTCGCCTACTAATGACTGGGACCCTCGTGCCATCAGGCAACTCACAGCCAGCTCATCAAGACAGCTAGAACTTTGAGAGGCTTTGGTTCGCGCATTGCTGTCCAAATGGGTTGAAACAATCTCAGACTGCAGGAGAGGAAGAAACACACCGTGATTCCTGCACCACTCACCTGCACCCCTCACCTGCGCCCATCACTCACCTGCGCCCATCACTCACCTGCGCCCATCACTCACCTGCGCCCATCACTCACCTGCGCCCATCACTCACCTGCGCCCAGCACGCCGCTGTCGGAGCAGCGTTGGCAGGCGGAGGTGGGAGGCGGCGAGGGAAAGAGGCAGCGGTAGCACGGCGCCGTGGGCGAGGCCCCGTACACCGTGATCTGATGGGAGGAGGGGGGGGAGGGGGGGGGATAGTGGACGAGAGGGAACTTGCACGGTGGGAAATAGGCCGGAATGCAGTGGCATGGAGTGCAGCATGAGGCACGGTGCAGTGGTAGCAGGGAGCAACGGGGGAGGGGGGGGCGTGTGGGGGGAATAGGAAAGAGGAGATGCAGGAAGAGAGAATAGAGGAGAAAGAGTCAAGAGAGGAACAGGGAGAGAAAGAGTTTGTCTATCCGGCTGTTGCGAACGGCAGCAAGCGGCAAGGAGGTAAGGCTGGGAAGAAACAAAGGGGCGGCCTCAGAGTGCGCTGCTGCTCTCCACCCACGCCTGCCCCCAACCCACACCTCCCACACTCCCGCCTTCACCCCGCCTTGCTAAACGCACCCAAGCCCTCCCGCCAGCCCCCCTGGCAGCCCCGCTTGCAGCCCCCCTGACAGCCCTCTCGCCTGCCCCACCTCTCCATGCCCCCATCCCCCATCCCTTACCCTCCTCCAAACCCATCCACCTCCCCGCACCACCTGCCCGCCCTTGTGCGCCTCACCTGGCCTTCAGTGCCCAGCGCTGCTCCTGACACGAGCGGCTGCACCCGGGCACAGGGGGGCGCAGGAGAGATGTGAGGCACGCACACAAGGCGGGCGGCAGGGGGTTGCCAAGACGGTGAGAGTGTGAAGATGAACACACATCAAGTGGACCCAGAGCATGGCAACTCAGATGCCCAGTTGGAGGAAGATGGAAAGAAGATGGAACAGCAGCGATGCGACGCTCACTTGATGCTATCTGCTCTCGCCTTGCATGCCTGTGCCACCTACCACTTCCAAGTTCAATATCAGCTCATTCACCGCAATGCTGCACTCTCCCACTGCGCTCACCCGTGTGGCGGCCTCACACCTTGCGCTCACCCGTGTGGCGGCCTCACACCTTGCGCTCACCCATGTGGCGGCCTCACACCTTGCGCTCACCCGTGTGGCGGCCTCACACCTTGCGGGCGGCGACGGCAGCGTCGCTGGCGAGGTAGCGCGTGGCCACGTTGTCAGACGCGTCCAGCAGCACGTCGTAGCTGGGATGGCACGGGGGGTGGCGGATGGGGCAGGGCGGATGATGGCGGAGATGGGGGTGATGAGGACGGATGAGGGAGGTATGAGGGCGGCAGGAGGTCGGTATATAGGAGGCATGGAGGATGGAGGGAGGGAGAAGGTGGGACATGGTGTGGAGCTGAGCAGGTATGGGCGAGATGGAATGAGGGAATGACGCACTCAGATGGCGCTGCGCTGCTTCACACGCCATGCGGAGGTGCGGGCAGCAGGACGGTCAGAACGCGAGAGGCATGGAGGGGAGAGGCATGGCGGGGAGAGGCATGGCGGGGAGAGGCATGGCGGGGAGAGGCATGGCGGGGAGAGGGAATACCTGGAGACGAGGTGGACAGCATTGGCGGGTGTGAAGCCGTGGCTGTGCGTCTCCACTGTGATGTCCGAGTTCAACCTGCTCCCCCATGCATGCATGCATGCAGCCACCCACCCACAACCCATGCACCGACACATACACACACAACCACGCACACACCACATGCTCTCGTGCACAGCTGTGATGAACAGCCATGGCCGCCTCAGAAGAGACGAGGCCCAACCCATGCCCCGTGCCCCATGTTGTGCTGCGCTCAGTGGGCGGGTCATCATTGTGCGCTCAGTGGGCGGGTCATCATTGTGCGCTCAGTGGGCGGGTCATCATTGTGCTCTCAGTGGGCGGGTCATCATTGTGCGCTCAGTGAGCGGGTCATCATTGTGCTCTCAGTGGGCGGGTCATCATTGTGCGTTCAGTGGGCGGGTCATCATTGTGCGCTCAGTGGGCGGGTCATCATTGTGCGCTCAGTGGGCGGGTCATCATTGTGCGCTCAGTGGGCGGGTCATCATTGTGTGCTCAGTGGGCGGGTCATCATTGTGCGCTCAGTGGGCGGGTCATCATTGTGCGCTCAGTGGGCGGGTCATCATTGTGCTCTCAGTGGGCGGGTCATCATTGTGCGCTCAGTGGGCGGGTCATCATTGTGCTCTCAGTGGGCGGGTCATCATTGTGCGCTCAGTGGGCGGGTCATCATTGTGCGCTCAGTGGGCGGGTCATCATTGTGCGCTCAGTGGGCGGGTCATCATTGTGCGCTCAGTGGGCGGGTCATCATTGTGTGCTCAGTGGGCGGGTCATCATTGTGCGCTCAGTGGGCGGGTCATCATTGTGCGCTCAGTGGGCGGGTCATCATTGTGCTCTCCACTCACTTGGCAGACACACATAATATTTTCAAGCTGCCACCTGCTGCCAGCACAACCTCACTTGCTGCCAGCTCAGCATCACCTGGTGCCAGCTCAGGTGCCAGCTCGGCATCACCTTGTGCCAGCTCAACATCACCTGGTGCCAGCTCAGCATTACCTGGTGCAGGCAGCAGCAGCGGACTCTGTCTTGGGGCGACCAACCGCCACCTCCGAATGGATGATCTGCACCCCTCACCCACAGACAGGCAGGCAGGCAAGCAGGCAGGCAGGCAGGCAGGCAGGCAAAGAGGGCAGTGGTGGAGGCCGCATGGGGAACGGTTGATGGGGCAAGGGGTGAGTGGAGGCATGCAACGGATGAGAGAGCACAGGGAAGCGCCAAGGCCAGCAAGTATTTGACACACAGCAACTGTGAAAGAGTGAAATGGCTTTCTGCCTCTTCTTATCATTTCACCTGCCTGCGTTTCATCTCACCTGCCTGCGTTTCATCTCACCTGTCTGTGCGTTTCATCTCACCTGTCTGTGCGTTTCATCTCACCTGTCTGTGCGTTTCATCTCACCTGTCTGTGCAGGTTGGACAGCTCCACGTCATCCCTGTCCACGATGCCTATGCGCCCTGCATGCCATGCCATTCCGTGCCATGCCACAGCAAAACACGCACCGGGCGAGCAGCAATGCGTGTGGAATGGCATGTGGGATCGGGATGCATGAGAACACAACGTGTTACACTGGGAGTGAGCAAGAGAGGAGACACGGAAGGGTGAGCACGTCATTGCACAGGCATGGAGCGCCCACTCGCCGTCCCGCAAGCCAACCAGCACCATAACACGGTGCCACCTGCAGCAACCACCAACATCCACGTCACACTCGCCCACTGCCCCCACTACCCGCCCGCACTGTCCCCCCACTCGCCCTGCCCCACTGCCCTCACCACCCTCACTGCCCCCACCCATCGCCCCCCCGCACGCACCCACACCGCACGCCGCCAGGTAGAGCGCAGCAGGCGACCCCAGCCCGCCCGCGCCCACCACCAGCACTGACCCGCGCCTCAGCCGCTGCTGCGCTGGTGGGGTCAGGGGGAAGAGGGGGAAGAGGGGGGAGGGGGGCCGGGGGAAGGGCTTCGGGTTGGGGATAGGGTAGGGAGGCAGAGGGTAGAGAAATGGCGGCCAGAAGAATGTGCAGAGGCAGTGAGAGGCAGTGAGAGGCAGTGAGAGGCAGTGAGAGGCAGTGAGAGGCAGTGAGAGGCAGTGTGAGGCAGTGAGAGGCAGTGAGAGGCAGTGAGAGGCAGTGTGAGGCAGTGAGAGGCAGTGAGAGGCAGTGTGAGGCATTGTGACTTGCCACGCGCCGCGCACCTGCGACGCCGAACGACGGCAGCATGAGCTGCCGCGAGTAGCGCTGCACCTCCCGCGCGCTCAACGCGTGCTCCGCCTCGAAGCTGCGCCCCCCCTCGCCCACCCCGCCAGCCGCTTCTGTCCCCGCTCCCTCAAGTTCCGCGCCTCCCTTTGGTAACCCGCCATCGTCTCTATTCCCCCCATTCTCCCCCTGCGCCGCCCCAATCGCGGGGCCGTCAGCAGCCGGCGAGCGCGCATTCGATTCCGCTCCGCTCGCGCTCTCCACTCCGCCGCTGCGCTTCCCTCCGCCCGCTTCCCCGCAGTCCGCTTCCTGAGTCTCCTGCTTTCGCTTTCCGTCGTCTCCCCCTTCTCTCCGTCTCTCCCCTTCCGTCTCTCGCCCCTCCGTCTCTCGCCCCTCGCCTAGTCTCAACCGTCGATCTTCCTCATCCAACGCTCGCAGCGCCTGCAGCAGCTCCTGCCGGCGCGCTTGCACCGCTCTCAGCGCGGCCACTCTCTCGCCCGCGATCGCGCCGTCCGATTCGTCGCCCTGCATTGCTCGCCGCTGTCGTAGTGGCTGGTAACCGTGTGTTGCTGATTGTTCAACACAAATGATTGACAAAGAAAAGCTGGGGTGAGGGTTTTGTTGTTGATTTCGGGCGCGGGTGCTCGGCAGATTCGATTGAGGACCTGCAGGTAGTTTCCGGGTTACCATGACTGTAACAGATCTAGTTTAAAAAACGAAGCTACATTTGTTGAGGGATGGGACGATTGAATGGAATCCGATCGTGTCGAGATGCGAACCGAGAGCACGACCGATCACCCCACGGCGAGGCGCCAAAATGTGGATGGCGGATTTGGGGCGAAATTTCTAAAGACGCTAAATAGTGGTACCCCAGTTATATCGCGAATATAACATGTTTCGGTAAAGTGGCAAAGAAAACTGTAGATAGTGGAGCTGTTCTGCTGGCACTACAACGTTCATTTCAACATGTAACCACTTGTTTAATCCCTCGTTCGAAAGCCCGAGTGAACGCAAATGTTCCGCGCCCTAATTAATTTGCCCTTGACCAGGCGCACGTTCGGCGATCAGTGATCACACGCAACCCTGCCTGACCGCTACTTGTTCCACGCCTGAGTGAAGCAGCAAAGCAGCAGAGCCGTGTCACGCGGTGGACGCAGCACCGTGCTCTCATCCATCCCGTTCCGTCGCACGCCCGCGTTTCACCCTACTGGCGTCTGTTCCGCCTCCCCTCGCCTTGCCTCGCCTCGCGTCGCCTGACTTGGCCCGCCATGGATGCGGCGACGATCGTGCTCTTGTCGCAGACGGACCACCATCTATTCGAGGTGGCGCACCCGCGCCTCGACGTCTTCGACTCGCCGCGCTGCACGCGCCTCGCCACGCAGGCGTGGACGGGCCGCCGCCTCGTCGCTCTCGCCGCCGCCTCGATCGAAGCCCGCCTTTGTGATCCGGACATCGCGGCCGTTCATTCCGGCTCCCACGTGGCACAGCGACCGTTGGGGTCCGACGTGGCGCGGGGCGCCATTCCGATCCGCTTGTGCGAGGACGCGTATCCCGGGTGGATATCGGCTGCTGACGTGGCGGAAGGCGCCATCCGTCGCTTGTCCATTGGCTCAGAGAGTGAAACGCGAGAGGCAGGCGATGCGGTGGATAGGGGCAGGCGGAAGGGCGGAGGAGGGGAGTGTGAAGGCGGAGGCACGGCAGAGAATGGGGACATGGGGGTGGGCGTGGGGGAAGAGGCGGACTTGGCGGGGGAGAGAGAGGCGGCGGTTGCATTCGCGGAGGCGGCGAGGGCGGAGGGCGATCGGTACCTGTGGGGCGGCACCACGGGGCCGCACTTCGACTGCAGCGGCCTCGGTGCGTGCCTCCCCTTGCCTCTCGCCTCGCCTCATGGCGCCGCCCCACGCGCACAGCGCGGAGCGCAGAGCGCAGCTGCCTTGGCTGCAGTGGTTGCGGTGGAAAAGCTAAGGAAGTGCGCCGGGTGGCAACGCTGCCCCCGACCCGTAACCCTATCACCCTGTCACCCTTTGACCACGTGACGTGTGACTCACAAGTGGTCGCAGCAGCAGGGCGGTAGCGATGTGTGGCACAGCTGTAGCGCACCATGCAAGCTGGCTGAGTGTGCGGCGAGTGCTCATGCTGTGCGCTCTCATTCGTCTGCCATCGCCTGTGTGTATCGTCGGGTGAGGGCCGTGGTTGCTTCTCCTGTGTGCACTGCCCTGCTATGGCATGCTGTGCTGCGGCTATTCTGTGCTCAACTTCCATGCCACTGCTTGCAGCAACTGCTCTTTCTTACGAAAGCTCGACTTTTTCTCGCCCTTCTCTTCTGGATTTTTCTTCGTGGATGCGCTGTGGCATGGTGGGTGGGTGTGGTGGCATGGTGGGTGCGGTGGCATGGTGGGTGTGGTGGCATGGTGGGTGTGGTGGCATGGTGGGTGTGGTGGCATGGTGGGTGTGGTGGCATGGTGGGTGTGGTGGCATGGTGGGTGTGGTGGCATGGTGGCATGCAGTGCAGCGAGCATATGCATCGGCTGGAGTGTGGGTGCCGCGAGACGCCTTTCAGCAGGTCAGTGCGTCTGCTTCCACTCACGGGGAGGCACCTCCTCATGGCCCTCATCCTCCACGCCACTCACCTTCCACACTGCGTGCTCATCTTTGCTCTCATCCGCCTTCCTTGCCTCACTCCGCACCCGTCTCTCCCTGCCATGCCTGCAGGAGGCCTTCTGTGAGCCAGTCTGTGTGGACCGCATCGCTCGAGGCGATCTGGTACGCCATCCCACTGCAACCCCTGCCTCTTCCCTCGCCTCTCACCTGTCCCCATCTGTGCCACACATCTGTTTCCACACCCTCCCAACTCACCATACGTACCTCACACTGCACAGCACCCGACTGATGCATCGCCACTCTGCTGGCACACCCGCTTCCTTTTGTTTTGTGTAATCGACTAAAAGATCACCTGCCGCTGCCGCTCACCTTCCCATGGTGCATGCCTCACCGGCTGGCAGGTGTTCTTCGGCACGACACGTGCCACACATGTCGGCATCGTCACCCACGCCAAGCTATGCCACCCGCACCACCACACCCCACCACTGTCCACCGGATCCAGCCCCTCCCACGCATGTGACAGCAACCCATCCCACGCATGGCGTGTGGTGCAGGTGACGTTTCTGCACAGCTCTGGGCGTGATGACGGCCACAACGGCATCGTCTCTGACTGCCTGCGCCTGCTGCTGCCCTGCCGTCCACGTCGCGCTCGTCTGTCGCGCGGCGAGGCACGTGTGTTGATGGAGCATGCCCATGGCTCAAATGACGCGTGCGTGTGCTGCCTTGGTAAGAGCAGCTGCTCGGGCGAGGGCTTGGGTGAGGAGCAAGAGCGCATGAGTGCAGAGGGAGGCAGCAGGACGTGTGGGGCAGGCGAGGCAGGGGAGTGGAAGGTGGTGAAGCGGTGGCACGTGGGCAGCAGGGAGGAGGGGGAGCAGGGGGAGGAAGACAGCGGCCAGGCCACCGTGGAGGGCGGGCAGGGGCAACGGTGGCAGGGACGGATGACGCTCGTGGCAACGCGCACTGCAGGCAGTGAGGACGCGGTTTTGACAGAGGGAGGGGAGGGCGCAGCAGATTGGGGGAAGGGCGTGGAGGTGTGTGCGCAGGGCAGGGTGGCGCAGCACTATGGTGCTCAGCTCAGGGGCTTCGGGCGCGTGCTGCACGCCCTGCCACCATCGCTCGCCCACATCCCCCCCCACCTCGTGCTGCCGCTTCAGGTGTAGCACAGCACCACCTTGACTCCATGTGGCGGGGGACAGGTCTTGATCAAATTCTGCTTGCTGAACCCCCTCTCGCACTCGACCGTGCTCAGCGGTAGGACGACAACTGCCTGCCACATCTTCATCAAGTTCGGGAACGAGTGCTGCCAGTCGTTGTCACGAAGCATGTTCCCGAGTGCCTGGTGAAAGTCCTCGTTGTTGTGTTGCGAGTACATTGTTGAGGTGAACATCCAGAGCTCGCTCTGTGCTCTGGTGTAGTTGAATCCTGTTGTACGGGTATGGGTTTAAACGGGGCTATACTTGCAGCAATCGGGTGGAAGGGGGAAGATTAAACAAAACAATCCAGGAGATACACAAGCGACCAGACGAGAAGATATGAGAGTGTGCCGATTGTTACGAGAGAACACAGCAGAAGCAGATGGGAAAACAACGCTGGAGGGAATGGGAAAACAACAGTCAGGTACACACCATGAGGTCTACGAGCATGCCTGGAAGCTTCTTCCTGTAGAGCTTGTGCAGTTTAGCCAGCCTTTTTTTGAAGTTTTCCACACGTTTGGCGTCGTCAGGTACGTATGAGGCTGCCCGAAATAGCTTACACCCCTCCAGCTCCTCCAGGTCCTTCATCCGCCACTCCAGCTCCTTGTCGACAGCACGCACAAACTTCAGCGATAGCTCGAAACAAGCCGTTACATCTCCGTCCGTCTCCTGCCCTTCGATGGGATTCTCGTGCAGCGTGTAGCTGAATTTCACGGGGTTGCCGTCGCTGTCCACGCCCTCTGCCTTCACCTCCCGCTTGTCCATCTTCTGATGGCGCTGAATGAAGTCGTTCAGTGTCATCTTCTCTCCACTCCCGAAGTGATGATCCGGCGAAAAGTTTAAGTACCGGTTCTTCATGCGCATTCGTGTCTGGTCCACGAGATGAGACACGAGCGTGACGTCGATGTGTTCGGACAGTACAGACGACAGGGTTAGCGACACACCTTTCTGGGCGTAAGCAGTCTATATACTTCAGATTCGTTTACCTGCCGTTGCTGGAACCGTTGGTTCAGATGGTTCAGCTCCCACAACACGTCAGCAAGCAGCCGGAGCAACCACTGAAACTTGAATGACGTGGCAATCTTGTACAGGTCATTGTTGTACTCTTTGAGCACCACGATGGCAGCAGGCAGGATCTCGAGGAAGCGTCGGACGGCCTCACCACGTGACAGCCAGCGAACGGTGTGTATCCCTTGTGCCTCCAGGTTCGTCTTGCAGAAAACATGCTGATTGTTATGAAACTTCTCGTACTTGACGTTGGAACGCGAGATGAGATCTGCAAAGCCACGGATGACGTCGTCAACAATGTAAAGTTCTGGCACAGCACCCGCGGCATCGCTTGCGGCTAGACCCTCCCTGTCAAGTAAACAAAGTACGAGTTCTGAGTAATGAAGTTAAAAATGGTGCATCGCTTTCCCACCGAGTGCACGGAGAGACACTCACCGATGAGCGACACAAAGGTGCGGGATCCTCATGCGCAGACGGGCGACAACCCCGCTGTTCTTGTCTGTCATGACACTAGCGCCGTCCGTTGAAATGGCAGAGATCTTCTGGAGATCCAAGCCAATCCCTGTCTGGTACTGCACCACAGCAGAGGTCAGAGAGGCTGCATCAGCACGGTCAACGGTGATGAGCGTAATGAACTCGTTGACCACACCCGTGCCACGAAAAAAAGTAGCGTAAACGATTAGATGTTTGCCGTGGATTCGGTCTGTGCTCTCGTCCAGGGACAAGCCAATCCAAGGCGACTCCAGCAAGTGCGATCGTTGCATTTCTTGTAGGTACGTTGAGATGGCCCTGAGATTCTCTCTGAAGCCATATCTACACATAACAACAGAGACCAACATCAGTATATGTGAATATCACCCGTGGCTACTGTTAAAAAAACATGCTCTTACTCGGTGTAATAGGCGCCATATCCGCCACCGTTCGGAAGGTCTGGAAGGCCTTCCTTTGCCAAGAACCAGCAGAGCGGGATGAACATCGAGATTGGTGCATCCGCCTTGCAGATAAACAGGGCAATATGAAGCACGCGAATGATATGACGCGTAGACGCGTCAGTTGTTTGCCACCGAGCTAGTTTCGCATGTTTCTCCTTCTCAGCTGCAGCTTCTTCTTGGTTCTTGACTGCGCTCTTGTGGGCTCGTGTTGAGGAATGGGCCCGGACGCTTCCTATCTGCAGATCGCGGCCACCTTCACCTCTCACACCGTAGCTAGTGTGAGCTGCGGGGTCGCCATGCTGCACACAGATGTCACACTTGAGTTTTGCTTCTCTGTTAGGCATCCGAATAAGACGCAACCACTTGAATTTACCCTTCCACTCCGTCTCAAAGCGATGCTTTATGGTATCGTAGAGAACATCACCGATAGTTTTAGCAGGAGTCTCGTCTTGGGGAGCTACTGGACATTGCGGTGAAGCTTCTTTTCGGGGTGGCGGGGCTCCCCATAGCCGCTGCTGCGTGTACTTCGCTCCCACACGCGGGCGTTTCCCCGGGGTGCTGTTCACAGTGGACGGTGAACACCGCGGAGGGTCTAGACGCCTGGCACGAGAACAATTGACGGGTGCAACTCCCAGTCAGCAGGAGTCGACGACGGCTCGAACGGGTCAACAGTACCCACACTACGCACGGGAGAAGCGGGTGGTGGCAACGGCGAGATGGGCACGCTGTAGGTCTCAGCAGGGGGAGGAATAACTCCCAGCACAGAAAGGCCATTACGCACTACAGCGGGAGATTGAGGAGTTTGCTCGGCAGGCATGACTACCACAAGTGAGAGACCTCCGAGTAGGTGGTTCTCACACCGAGGGTATGAGAAGGATGAGAAAGATGGGGTGTTCTGGAAAAAACGACCCCCTCCTCCAACACCTGTGATGACCCCGGAGCACGTAATTGCATGGCTCACGGTGGTCACTTGTGGCTGCCAGGAGGTGCCCTGTTCAGCACGAAAGGAGGATGGCAGCCCCGCTGTCCTGTCGGCGCGCTACTAGACAAGTGGGGCAGTTGTCAAATGCTGCTCCGGCCTTGATTCCGTGTTGCGCTGGCACGGTGGCTGCCAGTTCCACCAATGTGGTACTTTCGCGGCAGGACGCGTGGAAATTCGCGTGACTCCACCTTGGGGTGAAATTGTTATTTGCGACTGTTGGTCTTGTTGTCCGTTTTGCATTCTGTTAACGTTTGAAATCCTCGCTTGCAAGAAATCCGTATCAGTGTAACTGAAAAAGTACCCGGTACAGTCAGGGAAAAATTTGAGGCACGCTGTATTTCAAAGGGTAAAAAAAAAAATTACTCTTAATGGCCTAGGGTAAAAATCCCACTACCCTGCTTGGGAAAGGGTAACTGAAATAAAGCGGCCGCCAGTCAGTGCAAAAAGGGTATTTTACCCTGATAACGAGAGCCCTCGTGGCCACCCCTTCCCCGTAGAGGAGGCTGGGCCGCGAAACTGGAGGGGTCTCGGGCGAGGGTTTCATACGGCCCTCATTCTCCACATTCTCTCCAGTTTTGTTCTTTTGTTTGGCTTGCCATGGCCATGGCGGGCCTTCCAGGCACGCACTTCCTGTTCTGCCGCCAACCTGCTACTACAGACTGTTGGGCTGAGAAAAAGCCCTTAGGATCTTTGTCGGGCTAAACTCTGAGTAGGAAGTTGTAATAGTGGAAGCGTTTAATGATAAGTCCTTGAACCACCTTGCACTCGTATGTGAGGGCAAAGTAGATTGATTAAGACAAGGAAATACAAGGCTTTTATAAGAGTACAAGGAATACGAACAGATACATCTTATAACTGTTTTACTGTTGCTGTTGCGGTTCGATACAGTGCCGACTCGGGCAACTGCTCAGTAACGAGTCAGTTGTTTGTCCTTCCTGTCACGCTGTATTTGTCAGGTCAAAGGTCGCTCAGCTTTGACTTTCGCGCAACCTCCAGCGGTTGCTTTTCTTCTCAACCTCCAAGTGTTGACTTGCCGATGCTTTGTTGTGCTTCGCCTCGTTTACGACTCAGTGTTTCGACACACAACAGAAGCGCTTGAATTACTTGTTTCCAACACTCCCCTTCGCTTCTGGAGTGTCGCTATTGGTGACGTGGCTTTGTCCAGTCAGCAGCATGCAGTACTCGAACTTCTGTTTTCCGAGCTTCTTGGTCAAGTAGTCGGCTGCCATCTCGGATGTGGGGCAGTAGGACAGTTCGAGTCTCCCCTTCTCGATTTCGTCTTTCACGAAGAAATATCGCAGGGCGATGTGCTTCGTCCTTTTCGCGAATCCGTTTTTGATCGCGATGCGGATTGCTGACTGATTGTCGCAAAACAGAGAGAAGCTAGGTAACTGAGCCAGCTTCGCTTCTTTCAGCAGTTCGCGAAGGTACAGTCCTTCCTTTGTGGCTGAGCAGAGTGCAATACATTCTGTTTCAGCTGAGGAGAGAGCAATTAACTCTTGTTTGCTCGACTGCCACGAGATGGGCCCGAAAGGTTCGAATCGGTAGACGAAGTTGGTGCGTGAGCGCCTGTTGTCAGAGTCGCCGACATGGTCGATCAGCTTAGGTGTCGTGGTTCCGTTCTTGTGATAAGTTAAGCCGATTGTCCGGGCGCTGACGAGGTAGTGAAGTGCGTGGTCGAGCACCGCCATGTGCTTCGCATCAGGTTTCTTGAGGTAGGTGGCGAGCTGACTTGCCGAGTACGATAGGTCCGGTCGGCAGGTGACGGCCGCGAAGAGGAGGCATCCCAGCTTTCGTTGGTAGTCGCGTATGCCGGCGGGCTTAAGTGGAGTGGAGCTTTCCTTGTGATTTCCGGTAGTGTAGCGATATGGCGTTGAGAGGACGGTTGGGGTGAGTCCAAAGCGTTTGACGATGGTGTCGGCGTACTTCGCAGCACTGATGTAGATTGCGTTCTCTTCTTCTTGGATGTTGAGGCCGAGGTATTGCGTGACGGTGGATGCGATCGTGAGAGTGAGGTCCTTTTGTCAAACATTATATATGTTGTG